AGGGAGCGCGGGCGAGGGGGAGGGGGCGGCCGGTGGGGGAAGGGAGGACTCGGGGAGAAGGGCGGCGGGAGCGCGAAGCCCCGCGGCCGGCGGACGCCGACGCCCGGCCGCTGCGGAGCCCCGAGTCCCGCGGCGGCGAAAAGGCGCCCGGCCGACCTGCCAAGGCTCGCCCATGCGGGGCTGCTGATCGCAACCTCGGCCCGGAGAGCAGGGCGGCTGGTGGTGGTGGTGAGGGGCTGGACGAGGGCTGCTTTTTTTTCAAACGACACTTCAGGCTCTCACCCAGTCCTTTCCATGGCCCCAAGCCGCAACTTACTCGAGTGGAAGGAAGCAAGGCCTCGCCCAAGATGGTTGAAAAGACCGTGAGCCTCTACCCAGGATCTTGAAGCCAAGGTGGTGTTTTGTTCTCCTCGTAATGGTGGCAAATAAGTGAGAAGAGAGCACGCTAGCTCCAGATAAATGAAATCTGAAATTCTCCCCGGAGGTGGAAGAAGGGGCTCTCTTCGGGTTAGTTAGTGGTTTGGAGCCCTTTTCGCCTTAAACTGAGCCACAAAAGAATGGAAGACACCCCCTGGGGTGGGGAGAAAGCCCTGGTGTAAAAGACACACGTTTTGCTTTCAGAGAGAAAGCCACTGGGGCCAGATTGAAACATGGCATGTTCAGTTCATGAAGGACTTTTTTTTTTTTTTAATGGAATGATATTGAGTAAACAAGATGGAATAGCTAGGTCTTTAAATTCTAGAAGGGAGATAGTGTGCAAATGTAACAAGCACACATTGTACATACACCAGGTGGTCATAGCCTACAGAACACAAAAAGATACATATATATATATATATATATATACTATATATATATAATAAGCCTGCTAAAGGCCACAAAGGTGCATAATCGTCACCCATCCGAGAGGGAGACGATATATTTTCATTCCAGATGAGGTATAATGTTTCTTCCAGCCCGGTGTCCTGGCCCCTATATTGTTCACAGACGTGCACTCCGTTGAAAGGTTTTTTAAACGAGAGAGAAACCCCATGTCAAGCTAATTGTGCTGACGCTGGAAATAGGACAAAATGGAAGGATCTGAAAAAAATGTCACCACAGCCTCAGAAAGGCTCACTCCTGTTTGATCGGAATCTGAAGACTAGTACTACTCGAGTAGCAGCGAAGGCTCCCAGCATAGAAAACATTTCGATGTGTTTTATTTTAAATTAGATTGATTGGTTAATATTTGCAATGTGTGCTGAAAAGTTAAAAAAAAAAAATCAGTACACCTCTCCCTTGCATTCACTTCTATTGAGGAAGCCATTGTTTTCCGTTATGGGGGCACTCTATGATGTAAATTAAAGTAGCGTTTTTGCTATCGAAGACTTTACGTGTAAATAACCCGAATTATTGTCTCACAGAAGAGTTGTTGGTCTTTCATTTCAAGCAGCAAATCGTTTGGAGCTGCACATAAATTGGAATACATATTAACATATTTACACATGCTTAGAAAGACCTATGTAATCTGCAAAATTTGCCAGCCATAGCATTACATTTATCAGTGTTACGAGATGTGGAAGTTGAAACTCCCATCTTCTTGTAGCCTGAAAACCGTGCCAGTACTCTGAGGATTGAGTTTCAACTTTACCTGGGCTTGATTTCATTTGAAAGGAAGCCTTTTTTCTTCTCCCAAAGGTGGGCCTTCATTAATATGCATGCAAAAACATTATATGCCTTGAAGAGTATTCAAGGACCTGCTAATTTGAAATCTTGATACGCTACACATATTATAATATATGGAATTTCCATAATGTACATATCATAGTAAATCCTAGGTTTTATGGATTTGGAATCTTTGTTTACTTAAAATACTCTTTTGCCCCTCCCCCATTCCCTTCTCTGAAAGAGTTGAAAGCATGGCAAAGAAGCATTTGAATGCTAACAAGAGTTATCCTACCAAAACCAAAGCCTGAATTGCTTATCATAAAGAGTCCTCCAGCTGTACAACTGCCTCTGGCTTCCTAATGCTAGATACTTTTTGAGCAGGGCTCTGTACAAAGCCAGTGTTTGGGTCAAGCCTCGGCTGGAAGAAATTTGGTTTAAAAGTACAATTCATCATTTGCACAAACGGCAACAGATAACATAGCATGTGCTTTAAATGCCATAAACAACCAAAATGTAAAAGATAATTTCTTGAAAATCATCTCAGTTCTATTTTTACAAAGAAGATTTCAGAGAAATCTCTTTGCCAGGTAGACCAATAGTTAAAAGCAAAGCACCCATCTTAGTCCATTTTGCAAAGTCATTGAATTTCACAGCTGAAAAAGACAACTTTTATTCTGTTTTTTTAAAAAAGCAAAACACTACCCCTCTTCCAAAAAAACAATACAAAAAGGTTCATTCTATGATTCTACATATGTGAGGCTACCATGTACACAGCTCTGCTTTGAGCAACAATAAAAATCAGTAACTCACTGCAAGAATGAAATAAAACTATTATTTGAGTACGGTAGATAAGGAAGGGCAGAACAAAGAAATCCTACAATTCTTATGCCAAATAAAGAGTAAAGGAATTCCAAATCCTTTGGGATTTTGTTGTTGCTGTTTTTATTGCTAATTCTCAACATCTTGGTTTTTTCTCCAATCAGTTTATTGCAAAATCCCAGCTTCTCTTTTTTAAAAATCTTTTGTGGTTGGAAGTCAGCTTTGCTGAAGCATGCAGATATCATACCTTCCCTCCAAATTGCCCTATGAAATTGGGAAATTCCTTTGTTAGAGCATACAGAAGGTGTGTTCCTGGAGGGAGAGAGGAAGGAGAAAAAGAAAAGAAAAGCCTCTTTATCTCACCATCAAAAGGCCTTGCAAACAACTACACTGAGCAGCCCCATGACTTGAGCTACACATTTTTCAGCTCAAAATCAAGCTAAGCCTAGGCATTTATAGAGTTTAATATGTTAAATTTGTTAGCTTCTTTTTAAAGGAATTATTATACTGTTCAACTCTAGCTTAATAATTTAAAGATGTGTAGCAGAGTAAACAGCAAAGAAAAAGGAAAAAAAAAACCCAAAACTATGTTTTCTTTTTAAGAACATGAAAATATGGGCTGGCCCGTGGCTCACTCGGTAGAGTGCGGTGCTGATAACACCAAGGCCCCGGGTTCGGATCCCACATAGGGATGGCCGGTTCGCTCACTGGCTGAGCGTGGTGCTGACAACACCAAGTCAAGGCTTAAGATCCCCTTACC